CCCCAAAACCCCAAAACCCCTTCATGAATAATATAGCAATTTTGAATTAATTTGAATAATTTATTGAATTTTCGCTTCATAATTAAATAAATTAAATATATGAAAAGGGACGTATTATTATTCCTTGTTCTTGGATTTTCTTCTTATACGATAAAAGCAGATTAGCCAGTGCACTGTAAGTTTAAGCCATCTTCTTAATATGATAGGTTTGAGAGAACAAATACTTGGCGAGTGGGAATTTGTCTATACAACTGAAGAAAAGTCAGTAGACATCTTCAAAATTGACACAGTCTGTACCCATTAAACTCCAAACTCTATTCAAATAGTCAAACCTGACTCGCAGTTTCAATTCTCTGAAGGCACATACTCTAAATTTTAGGCCGAGCTATCAGATAGTGGGAAAACATCGATTTAAATTGGTGGCAAAAGTATTAATGCTCATTGGTCGATGCTCTACGATTAGGGTCTAATTTTAGATTCTGAAGAGTATAGATTCTTTGCAAACTACAAGTACACCATCTAATCAGATGTAAAATATGAATTTGAAGTTGCAGGTTTGGAGGTAAGCTCATATGACTCCTTTAACTCTCAATGCAACTCAACTATGATTGGACTGATATAAAATAAAAAGAATCCAGGATTTTATAGATGTTTCTTTGCTAATAAGTTAGATCACGCTGAGATTAAAAGCGAGGAAGAGATTCAAGCAGATATCTCAGAGAAGATTGTATTTTTAGCTGCGTAAGTTAAAAAGTCAAATATTTTAGCTCAGACAAAATATGAAGACCTTGATAATATGGTGTAATTCGTCAATGAAAATGACTTTACTTGGTAAGCAGGCATAAATAATAGACTTAAAGGATAGACTTTGAGTCAGCTTAAGATGCATCATGATGGAAATCAAATGAAATTTGCTCAGAAAACATTAGTTTAAACTAATTCAATCTCAAATACAATTACAGATAGTGACTCAGATGCTGAAAGATTAATAGAAGATGAAGATTTTAAGGCAATTTAAAAAGAAGCAATAAAATTTATTGATTCTTCACTTGATAAGATGTCAGAGAATGATTTGCCTGATCAATGGGATTGGAGAAATGTCAGTGATTACGACTTTACTACGCCAGTAAAAGACCAAAAGGGATGCGGTTCTTGTTATGCTATGTCTTTTACTGAGACCATGGAGGCAAGAGTTAAAATTAAGTATGGGAAAAGTATCCCACTATCAGCACAATTCCTCCTTGATTGCAATTTCTATAATGAAGGATGCTCAGGGGGTTGGCCACTTCTCAATGGATTCTTCAGTGCTGATTTTAGCATTCCAAGTGAAGCTTGTGCTCCATATAAGGGTTATACTGTTGGAAATGAATGCTCCGACCATAGTAATTGCTAAGAAAAAGTCAAAGTTTCTGAAGCTAATTATATTGGAGGAGCTTATGGAATGAGCTCTGAACTTTTGATGATGAAAGAAATTAGAGCAAGAGGACCCATAGTTTCAGATCTTAATGTTCCTTTAACCTTTAGTTACTATAGAAATGGAATTTTCTCAGATGATCACGAGCTCTAATTGAAAAAAGAAGGATTCAAGGAGTACTTAAATGAAAATTCTGTTGATGAGGTAACAGACAGAACTTTAAGAGACTATCACATTGAGTGGTAGTATATTAATCATTCAATAATGATTGTTGGATGGGGAGAAGAAGATGGAGTGAAGTATTGGATATGCAGAAATTCATATGGAGACGCGTGGGGAGAATAAGGCCACTTCAGAATAAGAAGAGGACTTAATGATTATGGAATAGAAAGTGCACCATCTTATTACATCCCCATAATGCAGTGAATAAACTTTACTCAAATTCTGTTAAAGACTTAATCAATAACTAATTAAATTTCATTTCATTTAATTCTTATTCGCAAATGATCCATCTTTCTTTGCTATATAAACAAAGCTCTCAAGAGCTGGAGGTCTATGAGAAGCTCCTTCTCTTCCTTGTTGCTATGAAATATCTAGGTCTACCAAAAAGCATTGAAGAATTGTATTAGAAGAAGTAGCGAACACACTAATAAAAACTGCACCGACGAAGTAAGCGATTAGGAAAATAACAGCAAGTGGCATAACTGGAGAATCAAGAGCCTCATGTATCTCTTCCCAGTTCTCAATAATCAAGAAACCAAATAGACAGGTTAATGATGCAATCGTCATTTTCCCCAATACCATGAAAATATTACCGATACCAGCCACTAAGCTAAATTTCCCGGCATGCTTAATAATTAAAAGAAATCCATTCATTGCTGAGACACAGAAATTTTCAGAGGATAAAGCAATCTGGATGTAAGCATTTCTATTTATGAACTTAATGAAACGATCTACACAATCCAAACAACATCTGCAACAGCAAATCATACATCTTACTGCTGAACTTAAATTACCGCCAGTTTGCTTGACTCTTTTCTAATGAGATGAGGTATTAAAATAGATAACTTACTGCAATAAATTCGAAAATAATTTTAATAAGCCAAACCACTGCAATAATAAACGAACCAAAAGCTATTGATCCTGCGTGATATCTCAAGATCCATCCAAAGCCAGAACTATTCAAAAATTAATTTTAAGATGCTTTACGAAATTTTTGAGTTTCCTTTGGTATCTGAACCATGAGAAAAATACCAAGTTGAACATGCAACGATAATCACAAATTAAGAGGCTGCTATCAAGAAGGATGTGATCCATAGAATTCCGAAGCACATAAAATAAATCATATTTCTAGTACTTTAACTCCACTTGACAGTCTTATACTAAGTACCCTCTGGGCCATTATCAATATCACCGACTGAGAATACAGTAAGTACTCCTGCTATCCAACAAATTATCACAATGATGTTAAGGATAAAGAATAAAACTGGCACTAAGACAATTCTAAGATTGCTTCCAACGAAATCAGAAGCAGCTTCAAGGACTGCTAAGGATACTTGCAAGCTAGACCTTAAGCAAATGAGTGCGAGGACATAAAATAATGCCAGAATCCAGACTCCTAATGCAACATACTTCAGAGTAGTCCTGTTTGAGTTTTGAGAACTAACATAATTTAATTAGTCTAATTGAAATAATTACGGATATGAATTAGAGATAATATAGGAATAAATTCCAATTCCAACTAGCGACACTAAAATAAGTAATATAGATGCCCAAGCTATTATTTTAGCGAAATGTTTCAAAGTGATCATATAAATGACGCTAATATTTGTGAGGAGTTTAATTATTACGAGATAAACAGAGATAGGAACATACATATAGCGATAACTCTAGCGCAAATTCCAATATCAGCTACCTGATGACCAAGTTAATCAGCAGCGATCGCGTCAAGTAAATTTGCTATATTGTCCTTAATATATTCTGGCAAATCATCTTGATCTGGAATACAGTAATAACTGACGTCTATTTGAATTAAAGATTTATCCAGATGTAATGATTACAAGCCTTTGAGTCATATTCCACAGGGAATCCACTACATTTCTTTTCTTTGCCTCTCAAATAATCAGTTTCTTTGCAATCAACAATATAATCACCATATTTAACTCTATTTGGGCACTTCTTGACACAAACAGCACTATCAAACAAATTGCTTGGTTCCTTGGAAGCTTAATCGATGTCCCAAATGAACATATATTTGTAGTCCAAATAATTAGGATCATAGCCACATATATTCCCTTTTAAATTTAAAATTATACTAATAATTCTTACCATCTGAATCTAATGGAGCAAAAAGCTTTCCTGGTTATCCATTTTTATACCCATAAATAGAGCATCCCATCATAGAAATCAAGAATAAAACAAATAATATGTAGAAAAGGACATCAGTACACTTTCTGTCTTTAGCTGGTCCATTATCTAAATGTTATGCAATGTTAAAGTCCTCAGCCTAATTCATTAAATAGTAAGGATTTTACTTTGTAGTCTGGGTCTTTCAAATTGTTTCTATCAATACCCATTAGTTTTTGAATTCTATGTTTTATGTTAATACCAAAAATTTTGCAACCACTTAATTATGGGGTTTTGGGGTTTTGGGGTTTTGGGGAGATCGGAAGAGCACACGTCT